GCACAAGGTGTGGGGATGAAGATGACGGCGAGTGGAGCGTAGGGTTTCTGAAAAAATAGGCATTAGAAATCCTATCCAGGTCTATCTCACCCCCTCTCGGATTTTTTTATCCGGGCTATATCCGGTCTATATTCGACCTTATACTATCCTGGACCACCACCAAACACAGGATAAGATAAAACATATCCTATCCTGGCTTTTATCCGGTCGACCAAACGCAGCCTTATGGTATAGCTTTTTGAAAGTGATCCTTTTTCTTTTATTATTTGATCAACTTTTTTCTTCTTTTATTTTTTGCGGGTTCCACTTTCCTTCTTCTTTATTTCTTTCCACTCCTTTGACGTTTCAGTTCTCCACTCTTGCAAATCATCTACGCCTCCTGCTCCTTCTTTTTGTTCTTCTTCTTCTTCTTTGTCATCTTCTTCTTTCATACATCTTATTGTCCTTTATTTTCTATCTATGATGCCAACCCTGTCATCCTCCACATTTCAATTATAAAAGGAGTACTGGTTTTCTCTACCAGAAAATGGGGAAAATAGCATTAGAGAAAAAAACAATAACCTGATAAAAACATAATTTTCAATTCTGATTAGAAATGGGCGATCAACAACAAAATTGATTAATTCTAATCAATCACTTTCGTAAAATTAGTTTTGTTGAAAAGAAAATTTTCTAAGAAACCTAATTCTTTCTACGTTGTCAAGTAAAATCTAGAAAATTTTTAACATAGACACTTCTTTAACAAAATCACTTGTCACGCCCCGCACCCTACGGCGCGCCACATCCCTCGCAAAGGTCGATTCAAGTGCGACGTCCCAGGACGCGTTGCCGACCCAACGCCCAAATTTCAGAGAACACAAAGCACAACGGAAATAACCAAACACCCGAACAATTTAAAACCACATAACCAAGGATAGTCGAACAACAACCAACATGAACAAACATACACTTGCATTGATACTGGGAACCATATACATCATTCATTTACAGCTTGCGCTCAAAAATCAAAAGCGGTTCAATGGCCACTACTGACAAAAAGGGTAAGTGGCCTGGGGGTCAGGGTTACTAAAACTAGGAGGGGCTCTGGTCAAAAAGGTACTGGCCCTACCAGACTGAGACTAAAGCTAAGCCCTACAGTGCCTAGTCCGGGTCGGAATCATAAGACTCCGAAGATGAAGAGCTATCAGGCAACTCCTCCTCAGAATCTGATGAGTCCGACTCTGACTCAGCCTCTGCGGCCTCCTCCTCCGAGTCCATATCCTCCGGCTCGGCATCTGGTACGGGGTCCTCTTCGATCGGCTCCGGCTCTATCGGCTCCGGAACAGCGTCCCAGTCAGCTGGCTCCAAGTCCATCTGATCGGGGTCATCCACTTCGTACTCTACGGGTACCCCGTCAGAGCTCACACTCTCCTCAACTGAAGAGCCAGGATCAGCCACCTCTCCATCGGGGCACTGGGGGTACCTCGTGCCCAGCCCGGTAAACGGGACATCAAAAGTTCGGAGATGACCATACTCTCCGAGACTATCCCTGAAGCACCACGCTACATATTCGTGGGTTTGATAATATGTTTCTCCCACGTCCACCCATACGAAAGTATAATGCCTAATATACGACTCCCCGTTCCCTACGGGGTGTACCGTCCTCATCCACTCTATATGATGCGGAATCCCAAAACGTACTGGAACTTCAGGCATCCTCAGGATCGGGGGTCTGAAAGGTGGGGTTTAAACAACAGTGAAAATAAATCTCAGCGAGTAGGTTCCCTAAACCTAAACTAGGCTAACATGCACCTCCTGACGAGCACTAAACAACACACAATTCAACACATAAATTACTCAGGCCCAGATTCAATACTTACTTTGCCCTGCAGGTTAGACAATTACAAATCATAATAATAATACAAAGCCCACTTATGGCACATACACGATATCACTTAGTCACAACGCACATCATGCATATGCTATGCTCGTGCTCACACTCGTGCTCATGCTCACAATGCACTTTTGCACACTTGCACTCTTGCACACTTGCCATTTACAAATTCTCCTCCGACCCGCGTAAAACTCATCAGGTCCATTTACTCTGAGATCGATCTCCGGCCCGCGTAAAACGCATCAGGCTCATGACACACAACCCGCGTAAAACGCCTCAGGTTGATCATCTTCCGGTATTCCGGGTATCGTCCCGCGTAACATGCCTCAGGACGGGTTCAATACCCCGCGTAAAAACGCATCAGGGCTTTATGTGATCACACACTCACATACACCAGTTATTATCTGAACCCCGCGTAAAACGCATCAGGGCGATTAGGTGACCACATTCTCATGTCATTCGCGCACACTCATATATGCACATGTGATGCCAATGTTCGAAATGCACACTCATGGCCATAACGTTCACACTTGGGCATTCACGAATTTTGCAATGAGCATTCAGTTGCACAACAACACTTGATCAATTCACCGCGCAACAAGCTCAATTCAATGTATCACAAGCCCAACTAATAAAATCACCCAATCCAGCCATGGCACAAACTTGGCACACAAAAATCACGAAACCAAATCAACATGAATTTGCGCACTCGAGGCCCGCCATGCTACTCCATTCTTGGTCACACTAGGCATATGACATGGCATCACAAAATTAATCACAACCAAGGACAATTCAGCCACTCAATCAAGCAATCCAAACATTCCCGGTAATTACACAATTAAACCCCAAATTGATCGCACCTTGTCCAATTAAATCCCGGTATGGACAGCCACCAAACAGGTCACTCTAGGCCAATAAATATCTTCAAAATACTCTATTAGGCTCCCCAAACATCACCCAAATCAGCCACCATGAGGACAATGCGCGGCGCGTACAATATTCCACAATTTAACCTCGAAATAAACCGAACTCAGGCCAATTCAATCCAATATTTCCAGCCATCGCATAGCACATTCTAGGCCGCTAAATCTCATTAGAATCGTCACGATTAACCACCAAATCAGCCACAATAACAGCCCCTAGCATTCTCCACAAACTAACCCCTAAATTACCCTAATTAACCCCTAAAACCCATCTAGAAACACACATTAGCCTAATTAGGGTTTAGGGTTGTACTCACATGGATTTCCTAAGCTCCCAACTAGGCTAGACAGAAGGTGAGGGCGGCTGAACAGTGGCGGGGCAAGCGGCGGCGACGGGCGGCCTTCACGGCGGTGGCACCGGCGGCGGCTCGCGGACGGCGATCCTAGGCGGGGGAGGCTGACCACACGGCTGGGAAAGGAGAGAGAGAGTGAGAGAGAGAGCTGGTCGGGTTGGTGGCGAGGCAAGGCGGGGCGAGCGGCGGACGGTGGCGGCGCCGGCGGTGGCGCTCCGGCGAGCTTGGCCTTCCACGGCCAAACAAGAAGGAAAGGAAGAGAGGAATTGGCGTGGGAGGAGGGGATGACCGGCTGACTTGGGGGGAAATGGGAAGAGAGAGAGTCAATGGGAGTGTATAGAGAGAGTGAGATAGTGGGGTGGTTGACCAACCAAGCAAAAATGACAATCCTACCCCTAATCTAATGGCTAGGATTAAACTTGCTAAATATCTTGGGGGCAATATGGACCTCAAATTTCATCATTATTGGGCTGATACACATCCATATAAAACCTTAAAATAATCTCCAATTAACCCTAAAATTCGGAACACTAAAATTAGGCCTAGGGGCAAAACGGTAATTTTCCGGTCCCGGGTCAATTTTCCAATTTTTGACTCTATCGATCCCAAATATGAGTGGCCACATAAAAATGACGTCGTCCTCGCAAAATAGTCGCGCACGCCCACGAAATTCGATACCGAAGTCCGGACTCAATTCCACGATCGATTTAGCTCAATTTGCAGTTTTAGCGTCTCTCACTGACGGGCGGCTGTTTAGGGGTTACGCGTATCAACCTAGGGTTACTCGAGTCGTGATGTTGTCGATTTCGCAGAGCACACGAGGATTTATCGCTAGTCCCAGGGGTCGCGGTCGTCCGGAACAAGTTCGGGATCTTCCGCAGCGTGTACTCTCGGTCGTGCGGAATCACCCGCTATCCGATCGTACGTCGTCGGTCGAACCAAATCCGTCACTCTCCTTGGACCGGCCCACATTGGCACAGAATATTCTCTCGTCGTATCTCAGAATCGGACTCAATTCACGGTCGAGTCCTTGGGTCCACGTACCGTTTTCCTAGTTAGCCTTTCCCTATTGGTCAGTATCCCGCGAATGATCAGTTCCGGACGAGACTTACTAAAATGAAATGAGGAATAACCATCTATTTTATTAATCCCGGAAGTGGGTCGAATTCATGACGTTACATCACTTATTTATAAACTTTCACTTATGTTATGTCTATCACTATTACTTTTTTACTCGACAAAGCTTATTTCTACGGAAGTAAAATCCAAAAATAAAAAGGAAAACATTGTGCCTTTAATATATATATTACCCACAATAAACAAAAAAAAACATGAATTGCTTAATTATGATAACTAGATCCTAAATAGTAAATGAAAACAAAATAAATAAGGAAATTAAATTGATTTGGGGTCACACTTTAAATTCCAATCGAATTATTGAGGATAATTTTGTCTTTTCAATGGAAAATGGAGTGGATTGGTTGTATAGGGGTGGAAATAGCGCCGCCCTTATTTTTAAGGGAAAAGATTGCAACTAATTTCAAAAGATGGGGAGCACATTGCAAATAATTTGAATTATCATAAGGCAATGTATAACTACGCCAACAAATCTAAGTGGCGAAAGTATAATTCCCCTCGAAGTTCTCAACGTCCGTGGTCACGTGACATCACGTGATCGTCTTTAAGGCGACCTTGCCGCCGGAGTCGGTGCGGGGGAGATCGAAAATCAATTTGAAAAATATCGAGGGATTTGTGCCAAAATCGAGATATTTGGGGGAAAATCAATAATTATCCAAAAAATAGGGGCCAAATTGTAATTTTCCCAGTCGAAAATCACAAAATCAAATGGTCCTGCATCGGAATTCACATTTTGCCAGAGAAGAACTCCTCCAAGCCCCTAAACCCTCACTCCCTCTCTCTTCGACAGCAGCCATGGCGATGCGTTTGGTCCGCTTCCGGCGAGCCCTCGCCGCGCCGCCCGCCCTCCGACGCCCTTGCCGCGCCATTTCCGTCGCGGCCGTCGTCGACGCCACCGCCGGCGATGTCTCCGCCTGCAATCGCGCCGCGGCCTCGGTCCTCGGCGGCGGCGGCTGTGGCGTCGTCGTCGATGCTGCTCTTCTCGCGTTCGCTGGCCTACAACGCCGGCGGCTACAACGATGGCGGCGGTGACAAGATCGATCCGGACACGGTCCTCTTCGAGGGGTGCGACTTCAACCACTGGCTCATCACCATGGACTTCCCCAAGGACCCCAAGCCCACTCCCGAGGAGATGGTTCGCACCTACGAGGAGACTTGCGCCAGAGGGCTCAACATCAGGTGTCTTGATTTCTCTCTTCACTTGTGTTGTTTCTTTCCGCACGGTGTGTCGGAAATGGTTCTGCGATTGAGTCGAACTCAGTGAAGACAGGGTAAATTTCTTAAAGGAATTTGTTTTTCGATTGGCTTGCTTTCCATCAGCAGAGGCGGGAATTAAGTAGTGTTTGGCTAGAAAGCATGAATTTAGCAAATCATGATTAACGTGACTCCTAGTGAATAGATACGTTTTTGGGACCATGAACCAACTAGAGAGTTGGCTCAAAGCAAAAAACTCAAACCTTTTGGCCCGAGTAATAATCGAATAGATTAGTTCTATTCCTGGTTGGTAATCCGTTCATGCCTTGCATAAATTACACTGTGCAGGCTTTATTGTAGGTACTGCGTGCTATGTTTGAGACCATAATATATGTGCTTGGTTGACGAGGCAATGTTCTTTTGGGTTAATGCACTGTCTCATCGGTATTGGGCTTTTATGGAAGTGCGTAGAACAAATGCTAGATGAGGTTTAGCGTTAACTAAGTTGAGCAAGCAAATATGGGATGCTAAGCCTGTGCCTCTGTTACATGATGAAAAGTGTTGTAATATTACTGAACTCGCTTAGTTTAGCAATAAATAAGCAACACGAATTATTGTTTACCTGCCGTCTCTCTCTTTCTATGGTGCATGCTTTCATCCGGATGCACATGTATGTGCGTGTCCTTTTCTTTTTGTCCATGCTCTTAATCCCGGGAGAAAGACATCTCCCTTAGAATTAGGTGACATTTTTATTTAATTGTTTATCTGGGCAGACTATGGATTATACAGTGCTAGATCTGGTCCAAAGCGTTTAGCTCAGTACAGAGATAGAGCCACGCAAAATGCATCTACAGCACAGATAGGCTTAGAAGGGATTTCTTCTTAGAGTTCGTCTGTCCTCATCCATCTGGAAACTTAAGTAATAAATGGTACCTTTGGTCAATTGAAGACAGAGGTGGAGTGGGTTATCAAGAGGCTTTGGAGCTTTATGTTCAATTTATAAGATGTAGAATTTGAAGATGAGTGTTGCTTAGAGATTAATGGGTGTCTCAGTACTGGCAAATGCTTAGGGATAAGTCAGGTGTTAACGACAAGCATTGCCAATACAGGCGGGAAGTTTAATGAACTCTAATTTATGGGAGGGATTGAAGCCCTCCTCAATAGTGAACAAAAAAAAAAGGATTCGTGGGAAATTAGGAGGCTCTTTGGATGCAGGGAAGAGGTGATTATGGGAGTTGAGGCAGAATGTCAGTGGGGTAAGGTGACATATCTGGTAGAATTGGCTAGTGATTTTGGAAGAGGCTGAAGTTTTCCTAACTGGTTGCAACTTGGGGAGGTCAGCCCCTGGGCTAAAGGTTTGACTTGTTCTCATAACTAATTGAAGTTACTCAAGCGTCTATACCTTTCCACCTGATAGGGGCCGCACGGATAAACCAAATTGGAATGAATAAATAAACAGATTGGAAATTGGTGTCGGGATGAGCCAAAAAAATGTTTAGGGTCTGAATCGAGTATTTCTTATGCGGGAAAATGATACCAATAGCCCCTAAACTTCGGCCCAATGTGTATCTTCATCCTTAACTTTTGTTTCATTCAGTGTGGTCCTTGAATTATTTGTTACAATGAAGTCCTTTTGTTTGATCAAACGAGGGAGAAAGTCAAATACATGTCCCTTAATTATCGTGTAATGTGCAATTTAGTCCTTAAACTTTCAATTTGTTCAATCTAGCCGCTCACCTTTCTGTGGCAAAATCAGATCAGTCATTTGGTATCATTCACTAGTTTTCATAATTATTGTATTGCCCAAATTTAAGATTGTCCTTCCATTTAAATTCATTTTCTAAATAAAAAAAATATTTTTATAGTAAATGATCCTTGTGATTAGTAAGAAAGACTTATTTGACTTTGTAATGTAAAGCTGAGGAATTAGATTGAACAAATTGAAATTTGAGGGACTAGGTTGCACATTACCCAATAATTTGAGATACTTGCGGTGATTTTTTCCCTTGTGTGATCAAACGAAAGGACCACATTAGACATTTACGAATAGATCAAGAACCACATTGAACGAATTAAAAGTCCAAGGATAACATTGTACATTGGGCCAAAGTTTAGGGACAATAGTGTCATTGTCCCTTCTTATCCGCTTGACAGCTTGTATGGCTTTTGGGCCTTTTTCCCCGCTTTACTTAGGAATGCCTTGGTAAGGCTTTTTCTTATGTTGTAATTTCCCTAATTAAATATCAACTGAATGATTCTCATCATTAAAAGTTAGGTAAGGACATTTGTTCTCTGCATTTACGCTAGATATGTCAGTTTTTGTTGAATCATTGCCGATCTTTCTTAGTTTTGTATGTGTTGAATGAGATGACATTTGATATTGGTGTTTCAGCGTGGAAGAAGCAAAAAAGAGAATGTATGCCTGTAGCACCACAACTTATCAGGGGTTTCAGGCTGTGATGACTGAAGCAGAGTCAGAGCAATTTAAAGGCAAGTGTCTTTAATGAGTTTCTCATTCGAACCGATGAATGATAGTATCTCATCATCGTTCTGCATTGACTTATTGAACTATAAACAGATCTGCCTGGAGTTGTCTTTATATTACCTGATTCCTACATTGATCCCCAAAACAAGGAGTATGGAGGTATGACTTGACTCCACAGGGAATTTCATCCACTATATATCTCTGCCACAATTTTTGCAGTCATTTAATCCCTTTATCCTCTAATTCCTTAATCCCAACTCTGTGACATGCTTATGATAACCCTGGAACGCTTGTTGTTTTGTTGAACTTACTGATTATTAGGTGACAAATATGAAAATGGAGTAATCACGCATAGACCACCTCCGGTTCAGTATGGGAGGCCTGGAGGTAGAGTGCGTGACCGCAATAGAAATTATGACCAACCTAGATATGACCGGCAAGGAGGTCAAGTGCCAAACAGACAAGGGCCCCCCCAATATGGTTATCAAGGACCTATGCAGCGGGATGGTCCGCAAAATTATCCTCCTCAGCAAAGTTGTGGTCCCCAGGGGCAAGGTGAAAGAAGAAATCCCATGCCAATGAGCAATATGGATTATGCCCCTGGTGGAAGGGATCCATATCAAGGACAGAGGAGAGATCCGGTGCCTTCATATCAGGGAAATTACAATCAACAGGGTCATAACAACAATTACTATCAGCAACAGAGAGACCTGCCGCAAGGAGATAGATGGAGCTCTGCACCTCCAATGCAGAATGCACCTCCAGTGCAGAATGATTATAGGAGAGACAATCGGAACTATGCACCTACTCCTGGTGGAACATATGGGCAGGGTTCTGATGGATTTCAAGGGCAGGGTACTGGTAGTGCACCTGGGCAAGGAATGAATCCCAGTTATGGACAGAATTATACGGGACATGGCGAAGGACAAAGGTTCACACCACCAGGGCAAAGGAGCATGCAGGAAGACCAATGGAACATGCAGCAAGACCAAAGGAGCTACAGACCAGAAGGACAAGGGGGAACTGAGCAAGTAAGCTATTCAAGTTTAGTCTATTGATATAGATCTTTGTGTGGAGTAAAATATATAAAGTACGGTAGTCATCACTCGTTAGCCATGTGGAAAACGTTTCTCATTGTATGAGATTTCAACCATGCCTAGTTTGGGTGATGCGTTCATGCGAATGGGTACTTTGCTATGCATCTGCCAGAAAATGAAAAATTGGATTTGATTGTTGCCTTTTACTCTTGAGAGAGTTGTTAAGTGGGATGCTTAGCTAAATTTCTCGACTCAACTTGGTTAAGAGGGCAGTTGATCCTTGTTGCGTGTAAACTTAAGAAGTTAACAGTGGGCAGTTGCTTTTGTGAACAAGCGCTGCGAAGTTAATTCTGCTGCTAATTCCAAAGTACCGCACATTTTTCATATTTAGATGGAGATACATGCTTGCACTGCATCTGTCATAACTTTGGCTTTAATGATGGTTGCGGGCTGGACCTTGAAACGAGCCATTTTTTTCTGCAATTAAAATACAGATGAATTTGTCCTGTTGCATAATTTTGTGTGCACACTCATCCAAAGCTCATTATATTTGTGTATTTTCTTATCCTCTCGGGCCAAAGCATACTTCTGCATCACAGTCTCTATGACCTGAGAATTTTGTTATCTGATGTGTTATTTTGTTATCCATGGGGTTAGCTTTTCCAAGTTTACGGGCAAGTTAGGCTCACAGGGATTCTTCACCCCTTGCTCTGCTCTGGAAATATGATGGAAAGAAGAACAAAGAAATAATTTTCTAATGTCCAATATTGTATTTGCTCCTTGTCAATTTTGCCATGACCATGACCCATTGCTTTGTTTGGGGAATCTTAACTTGGCACATTCTAGCTGTTAAGTGTGAGCTTTTCTCGTCATGCTGCCTCTGACATACCTCAACACCGCTGTCTTCTGCAGAGGAGATACTAGGGAGCTCAAATGGGGTCCTTGGGATGCAAGGCTTGCAAAGATGGTGATTTACATGACTTCCCTCAGGAGGATCTAATCTGGTTCCTGCAGGAGTGACGAAGTTTCACATGGTCAGGATAGTCGGTTGAGAACTTTTCACAAGATAGTAGGTTGAGAACTAAGTCCTTTTAGATCGTGTCATTTTTCATTTACTCTGGCGGTTCTCTCTATGTTATAGTTGTGAGGTATGAGATGGATTCTTCTGTGCGTGCGTGCAATTGCAAGATCAGCAAACCCGCATGGAATCAATAATATTCACTACAAGATGGATAGCCCATCTCCCTCACCAAATTAATGTGATCGCGAGCTGGATTATGCACTTGCTTTCTTCCAGAAAACTTGGAATTCTTGCATTGGACTTAACTTTCGTCGCCAAGTCTTGTTCCTTATTCAAATTATACCTCGTTGGATCGTCACTCTCTTGCACCACCGGTGAATAAGCTGCTTTGCCAAATGCTTGGACATGGTTCAAGGAAACTTGTTGCCATTTCCCCCTAGATCCCACACATACGTGTGATTTTTCTTAGTGTGTTATGCTGAAAATGTACTTTTCTTTTTCCTTTTTAGAGGACTATGTTAAAGTCGATGAATTAAGTTTTGCTAATGACTAGTGAGGATGAATCGAAGGACTTTCAATCGACCCATAATTCCCGACGGGAATTAGTTTTCTCTCCAATCGGAAAATAACAACTCAATTTTTATACCATCAACCATCTGAAATTATGTAGTGTACCTTGTCATCTGGTTGCACATTGGGGAAAGGGAGTCACTAAAACGAGTCCTTGAGATAAAGATGGTTACACATCATCATCTGAGGCTTCCCACCATCTTCGCTTTTGTTTTTCCCTCTATTTTCTCATTGTGGTCTTGTCCGTTGACCTTTTCTCTGTGTTTTTTCTCCAACGAACAAAAACCTTTGCAAAGCTCTTTTTCCATCGTTTTCCATCCTTTTGTCTCCCCGAAACTGGGTCTTCCTCGCTTTTTCAACATCAGGTAAGTCTCCTTTTTACTCCTTTGCCTCTTTCTTCTCTCTTCTTTGCCCGGCAAGCTCTTGGTTTGAATGGGATTAGCTCTTTGATTTTCCTATGGCTTGAGATTTCTGGGCGTAGCGCTTTCTCTAATCGATCAATCACAACTCGAGGTTGATATGTCATTTCCTCGAATTACATGATTGGATCCTTGAGCATTAAACTATCTAAGTAGCGATTCGGAAAATATTATCCGTGATCTGTTTATCCATTCTTCTTTTTGGAAAAGTTACTAAAGATTTTCTTTTTCTTCTTTCAAAAAAATTTACAAATGGGATGATATTTCTTAATGCGTGAGAAAAACGTCGTACCCTAATTTTGTGTAATTTTCAGCGAGGAGCACCTGCGGATCCTTATTCTGCAGAGATCGAATTCGTCGAGGGTTTCATAAATTACGCGAACAAATCAGTACTTTCCTTTAGAACAACTGTGTTTCGATTTAGCAGACTGCATCAACTTTTATTAGGTGCAAAAGTCTGCACAAATTTGGGTTAAATTGATGTGATCAAAGAAGTGCTTGAGAAGATGGAAGATTGGCAGCCGGCAAAAAGAGGCGTGGGCAACGAGGATGAAAAACCAGGGAACGCAAACACTGAACCGGCGAAACTCAATGGGCTTAACATCACCACAGGGCCAATTTTCTTGCACGGCGAATTGGACTTGTACATAGTGGAGGCCAAATCCCTCCCAAACATGGACCTGGCCTCGGAGAGAATAAGGCAGTGCTGCTCCATGCTTGGGCCACCCTGCGCGCCTGTATTACGCAGGCGGCGGCCTGTCGCCGTCCGCTCCTCAGGGAAGCACTCAATGATCACGAGTGACCCCTATGTTTCCGTCTGCCTGGCAGGGGCCACGGTTGCCCGGATCCGGGTTATTCCAAACTGTAAGAACCCCTTGTGGGACGAGCGGTTTTGCGTTCCCGTGGCGCACCCGGTTGTGAAGGTGGAGTTCCATGTGAAGGACAACGACATGTTTGGGGCCGAGCTCATCGGGGTCGTCAAGATCCCAGTGGCCAAGATTGTGTCCGGCAACATGATCAATGACTGGTTCCCGATAATTGGCAACTTCGGGAGCCCCCCCAAGCCCTACCCGGAACTTCACATCTCAATCCAATTCAGGCCGGTCAGCGACAACCCTTTATACAAGGATGGCGTTGGTGTTGGGCCAAACTATGTGGGCGTACCAAACACATATTTTCCACTTAGGAAAGGTGGGGATGTGACACTGTACCAAGATGCTCATGTCCCTGAGGGCAAGCTGCCTCAGATTTTGCTTGATGATGGGAAGATTTATGAGCAAGGCAAGTGTTGGGAGGACCTATGCCATGCCATTTTGGAGGCCCACCACTTGATCTACATCATTGGTTGGTCCATTTATCATCCTGTGAGGCTTGTGAGAGAGCCCACAAGGGAATTGCCCAATGGAGGAGAGCTTTCTTTTGGGGAGCTCTTGAAGTACAAGTCCGAGGAAGGTGTCCGAGTGGTCGTGCTCATTTGGGACGACAAGACTTCACACGACAAGTTCCTCTTGAAGACGGTAATACTAAAACATGGAAATGTCTTTATGGTTTTTGGGATGATTGTAATACTGCTGGGTCAAGAAAAATTTGTCCGCCTGCGTTTTTCATCACTGTTGATTCGTTGGCAAGTACAGTAGAGCGGTGGGAAGTCACAACCAATGCATCGATGGTGATAAGAGCCGCATGTGAAGAAATTTCTATTCTAAGTATCATCCGTTTATTACCGGTGCACAGGATGGACTAATAGTTCTTTCTTTCGGCTAGCCTTTACAAAATGTAATAGGAGAATATGTTCTATAGTGGCTCTTTTCTTGAATGAGTGTCCTAATATATAATGCAACCCACCGTTTGGCCAAATTTTAAATCCATGCTTTTTGTTACAGAAAATCTGTATGTTTATTGACTTAGGAAATGATAGTTCTTTGTTGAGATCTCTCATCATTGAGACTCGGCATGTGCCACGTTTATTGTGTAGGATGGCGTGATGCAAACTCATGATGAAGAGACGAAGAAGTTTTTCCGACATTCCGGCGTCCGTTGTGTACTCGCTCCTCGTTATGCAAGCACCAAACTTAGCATTTTCAAGCAACAGGTATGTATCCTTAGACGTTTGGGTCAATTCTTAATCAAAATCTCATCGTTAGATTGCATCAAAAGCGCTGCTTTTGCTGTTTATACCCGATTATTCCAATCGGGTATAATTTCATAGAGAAGGTTTTCCTTTCATCAGACAATCTGCGGTAAGTTTATTGATCTATACCCACGCTGTCCTAGATGCATGTCACGTGCTTTCTGACCTAATGACCATCCATTTAGGACAGTTCTCAAATAGGGAGTTTTACAGTTTTGCGGAGGCTATCCATTCGATAGAAATCCGACATAAATTTATGAAAGTGTTAGTTTAATTTGTTGGTTTATGGGTCCTTTGTAGTCCAGGTGGTGGGGACCCTGTACACGCATCACCAGAAGTGCGTGGTTCTCGACACTCAAGCCTCAGGAAACAGTCGCAAAGTAACAGCTTTCATTGGCGGGTTGGACTTATGCGATGGCCGATACGACACTCCTGAGCACATGCTCTATAGCGATCTTGACACCGTCTTTAAGAATGACATTCACAACCCCACATTCACGGTAATTAAGCTAATGTTTACCTTTGCATTGTTATAACATGTGCATGGTATATTCTGATCACGAGAAGTACTTGCTTTTTGTGATAATTGTAGTCCACTGTCAATGTCCCAAGGCAACCGTGGCATGATCTACATTGCAAAGTTGAGGGACAAGCTGCGTATGACATATTGAAGAATTTCGAACAGAGATGGAAAAAGGCGGCGAAGTGGCGCGAGTTTAAGCTGAAAAACGTCAGGCGTTGGCATGAGAATGCTCTCCTAAGGCTCGACAGGATTTCGTGGATACTTTGTCCCTCGACAAGCCCTGATGGCGACAAAAAAGTACAAGTCAGGGACGAAGACGACTCGGAAAATTGGCATGTGCAGGTTGGGAAAATTTACATTGAATTAAAGACCATTTTCATGGGACTTCAGTCGTAGACAAAATGAAGCGTGACAACCGTCTTTCATTTCAATTTTATGTTGGCATAGGTCTTTAGATCGATTGATTCAGGATCTGTAAAGGGATTCCCGAAGAGCGTTGAAGAGGCTGCAAAGCAAGTAAGTTTTAGCTACTAATACCATGCCACTAGATTTGCAACAGGCCGATATTTATGTATAACTTGAAAAGTTTTCCTTACATTAGAAAGTCACTCTTCTTTTTATTCACAATCTTTAGTGTTTTTGAATAGAGATTGAAGTCCACATTGATAATGTTGCTTCTTTCAATCTCTTCATGGATGCAGAATCTTATATGTGGAAAGAACTTGAAAATAGACAAGAGCATTCACACGGCGTACGTGAAAGCGATTAGATCAGCGCAACACTTCATTTACATTGAAAACCAGTATTTTCTTGGCTCTTCCTATCATTGGCCATCGTACAAAAATGCAGGTATAAGGTTCACATTTCTATTCATTCTGACTGATGAGTTGAGCGAGCAACAATCCCTCCAGTAACGAGTATTCAGACTTTGCTGCCTCTGGGGATTGTATATAAGCTAATAATAGCTAAAACTCACTATATAAGACATTGAAACTGGATTTCGATTCAATATGTTATATTTCTGAGACTGACTCTCCAAACTTTTTAAATTTCGATTTTTTCCTCCATTTTCTAGTATTGTTTAGGCCTGTCTAATTTCTTAGAGTTTAAATTTTGATGGTAACCAATGCTTGATTTGGTTTTGACAAGCAGGTGCAAACAATTTAGTGCCGATGGAGCTGGCATTGAAGATCGCAAGCAAAATCAATGCAAACGAGCGCTTTTGCGTGTATATAGTAATACCGATGTGGCCAGAGGGTGTCCCTACTAGTGCTGCTGTGCAGGAAATTCTCTTCTGGCAGGTCAGATTAAGTATAAACTCTTTCATCTTGCAATGAAATACTGATGACATATGCAAATCGATAACAGTATTTGAATTTATATGACGTCCTAGCAAATTGAAAATAAATAACATGACGGAATTGAGCAGAAAATGACGTGATCCAAGCAGACCAAGCCTAGCTACTTGAAGGGGAAAATTTGAGATCCGTCCTCGTTTCAGTCGTTTTAGTATTTCTCTCCGAGATATGATGATATGAAAAGATCAACATTCACTAATCTCACATGCGTGTATTGACAATGTGGACAGGGACAAACCATGACGATGATGTACAAAATTATCGCCAGGCTCTCAAAAAAGCTGGGCTGTCACACAAATATCATCCATTAGATTACTTGAACTTCTATTGCCTAGGCAAGCGGGAGCCCTTGTCCTCTACGCAACCTTCATCCCAAGCAGTGAATCAACAATCCGAAAATAATGCGGCGGTATATGTCTATACTCTTTTCATGGATTCTTCTTTTGACTCATCTGTTAAAAAAGTAAAACAAAGAAAGTCATTAAGAACTATGGTTTCTGCATGAGTGGTAAAAAGACTTTTGGTTGAAACATGTTTGTGGTTTCTATCCATGCAGGCGTCGGTTCAAAAGTTCCGCAGATTCATGATATATGTGCATACCAAGGGAATGATAGTAGATGATGAGTAAGTGATCATGGGATCGGCAAATATCAACCAAAGATCTCTTGATGGCTCAAGAGACACCGAAATCGCAATGGGGGGTTATCAGCCGCATCACACTTGGGCTGGGAAAAAGAGGCATCCGCGTGGCCAGGTTAGTTGCATCGGGTTAGCCTCTCATCTAAATAGCATATACAAGGCGAACACCCGAGCGAGTGCAGCGAAATTCATTTAAAAACTGAATCTTGCAAATAATTATGTCAACTTATGCTATGCAGGTTTACGGTTATAGGATGTCGCTTTGGGCAGAGCATTTGGGAGATTAGAGGACAGCTTTAGGGAACCTCAAAGCATTGAATGCGTGTAGCCAAACGGAATTGGAAAGCTTATGTGGATGAGGACCAACGTAATCCCAAGGAAATGAAAGGGCACCTGATGCAGTATCCGATTCATGTGAGCAGAGACGGAAAAGTCGGTCCTTTGGCTGGTTTCGAAACCTTTCCTGATGTGGGCGGCAAAATCCTCGGATCGCCCACCACTCTTCCCGATGCTTTCACGACATGATCAAATATGTAAATTAGTGGGATTCGATTATGGGAGGGTGCAAATACAATGATGTATACCAAAATTTTCAAGTGATTTTGGGTTAAACAACAGTAATTTCAACAGCTGAATTGAAAAATATAAGTAGAATGAGCAAGCATGAGCATGACAAAGCAAGTTGTGAGCTGGATAGATACTCTCTACTAATTAAAGCTAGCTGTGGGCATGACATGCGATGTCATTGTTGTATAAAATGCTTCGGATGAGTTGATGTTATTGTGTGAACATTAAGATAATTTCTTATGGTTCATCAAGTTCTTCTTGGCCGTGTGTTTTCCATTCGAGATTTGTAGCATAAACTTCTAAGAGGGAAAAGATTCAACTTTTTCAGATCATAAAATTTTTTCTTGCTAGCCTTGTCGATCGTAGGGTCTTTCTCCACCAGGTTTATCGAGAAGGATGACACCCGTTTTGATATTTTTTATGAGACAAAAAAACTAAGTGATATTATTAAAAGTGTATTTTTAGTTAGTAAACTCAATGAAATCTAATTTGTGAATTTTTGAAAGAGCCTAAAAATCTAATATATTATACTAAAATTGACGTCAAGCACATTAAATCCATTCATATTTAAGAAAAAATATTCTTCTTTTTCAAATAAAATTCGAAGAGCTTTGTCAAGAGAAAAGTAAACGTATAGGATAATCTCTTGGTAATATACGATAATAAAAATGCTCTTTGCTCATTAACTACATTCAGTTTTAATGAGTTTTAGAGAAAAAATTCTCGATAACAACAAGTACAATTGACTTTATGACTGAGAATATTTCAAGAGGAACTTTTTAAGATATTAGTATAATTATAAACATCACATCTAAAAATATCCAAATCTAGAGTAGTAAATAGTTAAATTAATTCTACGAGAATGAGAAAATATTGATGTTTATGAATTCTTATAAAATTGATTCTATTATGCATGAGATATTATGTTATATATATATAGAAACAATAATGAAGGGTAACATGACTGAACTGGTGGCCAGCCTATAAGAAAAGGTTGAGAATATTAATATCTGCTTTAGTACTAAAATTGTTGGCGCACCTGAATATTGTCGAGTTGCATGCTATTTTTGAATAAGTTACACGCGTCCAAAAAAGAGATGAAATGTTGAAAATATCTAAGCGATAGAATTTCTTTGTTGAAACAGTAAGGATGGGGATCTTTTGTCGAAAAAAGATTTGTAACGTTAAATAAAAATAAATACATTTCGCTCCGAGTATGTGAACAAGCGATTTAGTTGATGATACCACTTGTCTTTAATTGTGACCAAAACTCGAGTTCATTAAGTTCTCCTCTAGTCACCACAACATTTATTACGGTTATATATATATCAAAAAGTTATCTCCCTTGAAAAATAGTTCAAACTGAAGGAGGCTTTGATTGAGTGCTTCTTGTCTAGACAGATAAATAGCCTCTTTGTTAGGAGTGTTAAGTTTAAAAATTGTACTTACTCGAATGAAAACAAAACATACATGACCGAGAAAAATTTCAGTATGACCAGTGCATGTATTAAACACACTCAATATAATAGAGCATGTATTTTCTAATATCACGCGAGAGCGATTTATTTTTACTTATTAGGTGGTTCGATATTATCACGAGAAGGCACTTTATTAGGATTTTACACAACATAAGTGTATGGCCCAGCGATGGGTCCTCATCATTACAGACCAGGAGACAAACCAAAGCAATGAACAGTGAAGGAATTAGTCACAACCTTCGTGGGAAGTGTACAAGAGAAAGCAGAAAACGTAATCTCAAATTTACCGGACGGGCTATTCTATATTGCCAGACACCGTTTTCCATTGCAATAATCACAAACTTTGTGGCTACACCTCATAAATATTAGTAGCATTCCTCCTCACTTCATTCGCTGCCCGAACGATTCTGGTCGATGAAAGCGTCAAACGAATCATCTACCCGAAAACGTTGTACTGGGTTTACCAGTGGACCCAGCCCCAAGCTTTGCCTTGGTTCGGCTCTGTTCCACAGCTGTGTACGTACACGTCTTTCACGAGTGGGAATTCCGCAGAGTATTCCTCAGGTAAGTAGCTCCTGAATTTCTGCAAATTTTTTAGGCCAAGGTTAGTTAACTTGGAGAAGGTGATTGTCATACCGGTTGCTTCTCCACATTCTCCATGGCCAGCAATTAGTTCCATATTTTGACAATCCTCCACCTGCAGCATTTCGATTTGCCCGAGAAATTCTGCCGTGAGGGTTGGGAAAAGTATTTCCAAACGTGGGCAATGCGAAGCCCTTATGAACCTCAAGTTTGGAAATGGGATGTTTGGGAGGCCTTCGTACTGCCAAATGTGCCTCAAGTTTTCCAGAGAGCTCAAATTGAGGCACCTCAATTTATCGCTCTTTGTAACTGTTCCATCACTTTCGTATATGATCTCGATCGAACGGCATGATGTCACTATAAGGCTCCCGAGACAGCACTTCAACCTCTTCCACATATAGTTTGGGGCAATACATCGGAGATTGTCGCAGTTTCCCAAATAAAGGCGTTCCAATTTGCAAAAGGAATCGGTGGGAATTTGATTGTTCCATAGCTCTTTCCATTGAACGTCTTTAATTACTAGTCCTCTTAAATTGGGAAATGTAACCTGCACAAGGATAAAGTGAGAAAAGAAGATAGCATGACAAATTATTACATTGTTTGTTCTAAAACATGATAAATGCAAGAATACAGATGATAGTAGTAAGGGATAGAGCAAACCATCTCATTAAAAAACGGTTGTGGCGATTCATCATCTTCTTCGGCCTTCTCGCCTAATGGCTTCTCGACGCTTGTAGGACTCCGGATGAAGGCTCTCAAATTACGGCATCCCCCAACAATTATTTGTCTTAAGGAAGGGAAACTCATCACATCTGCCTCTGATTGACCACCTTCTTTCTTGGGAACAACTTCCTTCATCTGTCCGCACTCCAAAATCCTCAGGTCATCAAGTTTCTCTAGAGTTGTGGCCGTCAAATTGGGGAAGAGATATCTTAGTTTGGAGCAATTTCCAACATCGACTAATGTTAGACTAGGAAAACCCAAAACCGTTTGGGAGTCGCTTTTCACCACGTGTCTCAGACTTCTTGCTCCACTCACAGTCACACTTTCCATTTTGGGGAGAAATACAATTTTTTGTTCCATATTTGAATCAAGGGACCCACAATCAAACACTGATTCCAGGGAGTCACACTCTGTAATATCAACGTCTGCCAAATTGGGGAGCAATACCCTTGTTTGTCCGGTATTTGAATCAAGGGACCCACAATCAAACAACGATTCCAGGGAGGGACACTTTCCAATCCAAACTCTTTCCAGGATGTGCAATCTCCCTATGATTGTTGAAGGGAAGACATCGAGTAGGTCGGAGCACCCTCGAAGGCTGAGGTCGGCTAATTTGTCGAAGGAACTTTTGGGAAGTTCACCGTGCCACATCCTTTTGAAGGATCCTACTGACTCAAGCTCCAACTTTTCCAAGCTTGGTAAACTAACCTGCTCATAAAAGTTATGCGTCGGACAATAGTTACGAAAAATTTGACAATTTGACCTATTCATAACAATCTATCCGATGTGGTGAAAGAATGAATTTTCAGTAGTGACCTTACTCTTGCAAGTGTATTTATAAATTATGAGCACATTTTAACTAATAAAACCAAATAAAAATCTTCAAAGAGATTTTATTACTTGCCCCACAAAGTGGGTGCTTATGGCTATTATGTATATAATCTCAAGAGAAGGGATTTGTACCTTTTGATCAAAGAAGCAATCGGAATAAGCATCTTGTGAATCTGAATTGGTGGTTCCCGACTCTTTCTTTCCATGAAGATTTGAGAAGAATTTCTCTGTGGGACAGTCATATATATGTAGTCCCTTTAGGAGCGGGAACTCTATAATATCATCTGTCCCTTCGTCTCTTCCTTCTTCATCCACAATCACCGCCTTCATATTTGGACAACGCATTACTCGAATGTCTCTAATTTCTCTAAGACATTTAGCCACGGACACCGGAAAGAGAAATGCCAGGCCCATTTCTATGACCACGAGTTCCTTCAGTTTGCTGAAGCACTCTGGTGCGATAGGGCCATGGTATATCTTCTCCAGATTAATAAGATTTTCAAGGCACAAAGACTCTAACTTCGTAAAAGCAACGAGAGGGAGGTCGTCGGATGAATTGGCAATGTACTTGATTGAGGGGCTGTCGTCAATGTCGAGATACTTCAGTTCTCGGAATCCTTGGGTGCACAGTTCGTGATCGCTCTTTTTGAACTCACTCAACTTGCATAAATACAAGTACTGAGTCTTCTGCAGAGCTTTCTGAACCCATTCTATTGAAAGAATATTGTCGCACCCTTCCAAATTGAGCCCCATGGTTTTCAAACCTTTAAATTTCCTCACTTTTGCATTTCCTATGTTGATCCAAAATCTGACCAGGTTCCCAAATGGCAGGTCACCATCCTCCAAGAGTATGATGGGATGACGAATCGATATTTCTAGAGATGCTAGCTTTGTCAAGCTCTTCAACTCGGCAAGCCTAGCACCACACGATTCCGATGGTATTTCATGCTTGCCCATCCATTGATCAAAGCTTCCTTTCATATGTAACTCTTCCAAGTTGATTAAGCCTTTTAGGGCTCCAGGCTCGATAATCTCAAGCGAGTAGCAGTGGCTTAGATTCAACGATCTAAGATTTGTTAGTTCCCCGATTTCTTTAGGTAGCCTAGAAATTGTAGATCCTGCGAAGCTGAGAATCTGCAATGCTTTGAGCTTGCCAAGAATTGCCACATCCTCCACATAGCAATTTATGCTTAATGACCGGAGGTTCCCGAGGATTTCCATCGAGGAAGGTAAACTGGCGATGTGCATGGAGCAAAGATATAGGGCTCGGAGCTCCTTCATGTATGTGAAATCCATGTCATTGCAATCTCCCATATCATATTGTTTCGACAACATAAGTATCTTCACGTGGGGAAACCGACACAGCATTAGTTCAGCAAGCCTATCACTGCCAACATTAACTAGGCATGCCCAGCATTTCTCAAGCTTTTCCTTTGGCCATGGGTCGTAATTGTTGTTAATCATTAAGGAACGCTGACCACAAAATGCATTTGAGACGACCACCTCTCTGTAAAGATCATGTATGGTCACATTGTCCTTGTCATCGCCACTATCCAGCAACAAGCAAACAGAACGGAGGCTATCGAGCATATCATTCAATATATTCCTTGAATTTTCTATCATGTTATTGAATCCCTCAAACAAGCCCAACCCCATGCCCAGTCCCAGCAGAAGTTCGACTTGAATGGTCCCGCCAATAAGACCACATAGCAAGAATAAGGACTTTGTGTCGTCACTCTGCAAATGGTCGTAACTCAACCGCACTATAGTTTCCATTTTTTCCTTATCTATTTTTTTCAATGCGTTTTTCCATGCGAACACGTTGCTATTTTTCAAGGATTTTGCGACAGAGATAATCAAGAGAGGCAAACCTGCAAGCATTTCAACCACTTGAGTCGCCATTGCTTTCAATTCCTCATTGTCTTTGAGCCTTTCCCCAACCGTCTTTTCAAATAGCCTAAAAGCTTCGTCATTATTTAAACCCTCAAGACGAAATGTTTTATCGGCACACATCTCTTTCTCCAGCACATCTTTAAATCTCGATGTGAGCAACAACTTGCATCCGCTGCTCTCGTCTCCTGAAGGAATTCCGACCGCTTTCAAATCAAGTTCCGTCCACAAATTGTCCAATATTATGAGAACCTTCTCATCCGGATCACGGTTCAATCTCTGAAACAGAACATCTCTTCTTCCCTGTGGGCTTTGCTTGTCCTTCAGATTCAGACTCAAGGCGTCAGCGATCTGGTCTCGGATATTATTCAAGTCCGGAGTCTGCGAGACTTCCGCTTTGACGATAATGGGGAACGGTCTCCCCTCTTTCCTGAGTTTCTTGTTGACTTCCTCCAACAGCGTAGTCTTCCCCACGCCGCCAGGCCCGTAAATCCCAATCACTTTTAGCTTCTCATCATCCAGAGCTTTCATTATGCCCTGAAAGATGGAAGCTCGCGTATCGGTGATAGTGTCACTCGCATCACCGACTGACAAATGCACGTCAGGAGCGCCAGCGACACGCCCCGGTGGAGTACTCTCGTAGTAGACCCTCTCGAATTTACCTTCTGAAATGAGTGCCTGGATGGCCTGGACTGTCTTTCTCGCGTCCCTGCCGAGACAATAACGCTCCTTTGGGTTGGGAATCCACCCGTAGAAGCAAGTTTTCTTGGCTCTTCCATCGTAATCCAGCACACCGCGCGCCTTGTTGGCAATGGTCTCTGCATCATTCTTCCATCTGTCAACTTCGCGTTTGATCACCTTCATGTTGTTTCGAGCATCATTGATAGAATGCTGCACCCCAACCCTCGCATCCTCCAGCTTCTCAACTTCATCATTAAGTTGGTGAACATAGCTGTCGGAGAATATCACATAGCCGCATTGACGACCAACCGGAGCCACCAGGTAGTCTGCCACTTTGGAAGCTACAGACAGAACAACATCCGCCATTTCCCCCACTTTTCGACTTCTACTTTTCTGGTTTTCTAGTAGGAAAATTGGGAAGTTTAAGAGATTATATATGCTGAGAAAGGCGGAACTGATGGAACCCAGAAACGAAACGAAACGAAACGAAACGACCGAGCAGGAAAGATTCAATAGGACGAATCCGCAGCCATGAAAGATTAGGTGAAAAGAGACAGCTTCTAGCAATAATTGGCGTGAGTTGAGATCCAAATCTAGAGAGAGGAAGAGATCATTTAGAGTTGCAACGATCAGGAAGAGGAGCACATGGCTTTAATAGAGGGAGCGTCACTATGTTACACACACATAAGCCCACCCGCCTATAGAGTGACATTAATTTTTTAATTTCCCCAAGATGCCATCCCGTCCTCCAATGCGCACAGGCTGTCCAGCTGTCACCATTGCTTTTTGAGGTGAGGTGAGTGAGTTCATACACTGTCTTACACCGCAAAAAGTTTTCTCAAGTATTGAAATTGATTTGTGAAAATAATAATAATAATAAAGAAAAAAAAAAGGTGTGAAATTTTACGGGACATGACTATTCACAAGTGAGCGTTGACCTCTAGCTGTTGAGACCCTTCGTAAATATGCATCTGTTTTGATTCCGGCAGTCCACGATTTCATTCTGTGTTGAATAGGTGAACTATGATGAAACAAGATAAGCATTTCCCCAAAGATTAGCCTATTCTTAAGATCACAATTTCCCGATTAATCATTCCATGCTTGAGTAGTATCAATCGCAAATCCGAATCGGTCGAGTTATTGGAGAGCCAACTGAGTTTTAAATGCATATATATGTTGTGCATAATGACACCTAAAGATTAGTATTGCAAGTCTACCACAAACGTATTACTCATCACAGTATTTTGTCACTGAAGTAGCTAATTTTTTTGTTACAAAGCTGTAATAGATATCACGTAACCCCTAAAACTTTTGGAAGAAAGTACTTCATGTAAGGCATCAAATGGAGCCTTTCGATTAGTAGTATTCTATTGGAATTTAGGAAAAAGGGTTTATCATCGGTTAGTCCTTGGCATCCTATGGGATCTCTTCTTCATCACTATAGCTGAACTATGTTCCATTTGTCAGTTATGGAGGTAGGCTTAACATTGATTTCTAAAGGCCATCTTTTTCATCTTTTGATAGACTCAACATGGATCACCATAGGCTTTAGTACTATGTTTCTTACCATCTATAACTAATCTTGATTAAAGGACAAGCATGTTATGAAATAATAATCTCAAAAGCACATAGATATGGCAATAGTTGAATCTCTTCCACTGAGCTGCATACACATTAACCATATGATACTTGTGCATTTGATGCTTTCTGTTCATACCGGAAATACAATTAAGCCTTTCTTGGTTGTAAAATGTCAAGATACGATCAACCATTAAACTGAGAGATAACTTACGAGAAAGAAGTCAATTAAACTTTACAAATGCCAAGAACGGGGGCACATGGTTTTAATATATGAAGCATGACTATATTATGCACATATAATGTCACGCCCCGCACCCTACGAGCGCGCGGTCATCCCTCGACGGTCGTATTGAACGCGACGTCCCAGGACGCGTCGCCGACCCAAACGAAACACCCAACGATAAAGGCAAGCGGAAGCGAATTTAAAACAACCCAGACAATAAAATATGACAAAGGGATAGCACAAAACAATAATTCCAAATACACAACATCAAAAGGGAATAGTGGTGGGGTATCCTACTTGCTATACAAGCGAGGGCACATAAAATATGGGGTAACTTGACCCGTCCTCCATCCCCTGAGATACCCGGTGTCGTCTCCAATCAATCATGGTCGCGGATCGAAAATGGTTATATAATAACCGTGAGAACGAGTCTCAATAAGTAACCCCTATACCCCACATAGGCCAATGCGTACCCGGACAAGTCGTACATGCAATCTACCCGATTACATATATATAATTCACATAAATGGACTTACCTCGCCATCCAACCACATGCCCACACTTGCACATTAGTCAAATCATAATAATGCAATAATAGTCAATGAACACATCAAAATCATTCGAGCGCCATACACACGTACGTTCATCCAATTCAACCCAAACACATTTCACATGCGCATCCATCCAACTTTCACACGACCCGGGTCAACACCCCACTGTGTCGGCCCTCCGATCAATCCGGGCTCCCAGTCAACACCCCGGGACCTTTCAAAAACAAACTTTCACACGACCCGGTCAACACCCCAGGAGTCGCCCTCCGATCAATCAGGCTCGTCCCGAGTCAACACCCAGGACCTTTCACAAACAAACTTTCACACGACCCGGGTCAACACCCCGCGTGTCGCCCTCCGATCAATCAGGACTCTGTCCCGGTCAACACCCCACGGACCTTTCACAAACAAACTTTCACACGACCGGTCAACACCCCACGGTCGCCCTCCGATCAATCGGCTCGTCCCGGTCAACACCCACGGACCTTTCACAAACAAACTTTCACACGACCGGGTCAACACCCACATGGTCGCCCTCCAATCAATCAGGGCTCGTCCCAGTCAACACCCACGGGACCTTTCACAAACAAACTTTCACGACGACCGGTCAACACCCCACGGTCGCCCTCCGTCGATCAGGGCTTTTCTCATGCACATGCACCACAATACAAAATTCACCATGCTCTTAGTCATATAAATCAATTTCAATCACCACCCATTCACCAATGTCAATCTAGCACGCCACATCAGTCCAACTCAATTCATGCTCCCGACATCGGCCCACCGACCCGACATTCATGTCGGCACATTCAATTAATTCAATTCACCCAAAGCGCCACAACAATTCGGTCGGGCATATTTATCTCGGTAAATCACTAAATTAGTCACACAATTACCGCCACAATAATTCACAAATTGGGCACCCTCAATCTAATTAGCCCACGCCTAAATTAATTCCTAACCCGATACTAATCACATCCTAAACAAGTCTAAAAATACCCAAAGTACTAGGTAGGGTTTAGGAAGTCACTTACCTAAGTTTGGCTCGGTAAAAGTCGGCTCGGGCCTAAAATGGCCCGAGTGAGCAGTGATCTCACTCGGCGCGGGCAAGGGCGCGACGGGCGCGGGGCTCGGCCACGGTGCTCGGCCATGGAAGGCCGGCCAGCCACGGCCACGCATGGGCACGGCGCGGGCAACGGCGCGGCACGGCGCATGGCGGTTTGGTGGGCGACCAGGAGGTGGTGAGCACGAGGCGAGAGAAAGAGATTAGGCGGGGGGTGGGGGTGAGGAGGGAGAGAGAGAGTGGGGTCTGGCGAGGCAAGGGCGCGAGCGGGAAGACAAAGGAGAGAGGAGGAAGTCGGGTGAGGCGTTGGTGCGGCTGGGCGGTGCGGCGGGGTCGGGGCAATGGCGGCTCGGGGAGGAGGGTAGAGGCTGCGGTGGGCATGGCGGCAATGAGGAGGCGGTCAGTGAGCGGGGCGGCGAACTGCGGAGCGGAGGCTTGGTGAGTCGGAGCGGCGATTGACCGGTGACGGCGGTCGAGGAGGCTTGGGCTACTGCGGCGCGGCGGTCGAGCCCGAGCGAGCTCGGGCGATCGGCGTCGGGCAACAGGGGAAAAGGAACAGAGCGGACGCGAGGCTGGGAACAGAGCGGCGGAGGAAGAAGAAGAAGAGAAAGGAAGAAGAAGAAAGAGAAGAAAAGGAGAAAGTAAGAGAGAGAGTGTGTCAGGGTAGGTCTGCATGGGCGTGGCTAAGGGGAGACGTGCGCGGCCAGAGGAGAGAGAGAGAGAGAGAGAGAGAGAGAGAGAGAGAGAGAGAGAGAGAGACGTGCGCGAAGGAGAGAGGAGAGAGAGAGAAAGAAAAAGATAATTTTTATCTTCGAGCGCGATCCAACGGACACGGTTTAAACTAAAAATCGATTTAACGGTCGCGATTCAAATATTAAATGCGATCCGATAACCCAAATTCAAAACCGAAAGCGATCTACCGGTCCAAGATAAGCCTCGCATATAAAAAGGGACAAAGGCCGAATTAATTAAATCAAACTATATCGAGGGAGGTCTACTAGTCCAAATTCGCACCCGGTCAAAAACTCCCTTTTTCCATTATTCTGACAATCTCAACGCTGGCTACGATAATATTGACACCGTCCAATTTATTTCGTCTGAAACTCCCGAAAATCGATTGTCAAGTTCGGGGTCTAAATAACGGCCAAATTCGATCGAATGCGATTCTAGCGAAATCTCAAGATTTAAAAATAATAACCGGGAGTGATCGGTTCCGGGCGAGATTTTTACTATAAAGCGCACGACGAAATACCCGTTTTATAAATCCCAAAAATGGGCCAAAATTCGGAATGTCACAACTCTTCCCCTTACAAAAATTTCGTCCTCGAAATTTACAATTCAACCAACTATTCAAACAAATGAGGTCGGTGTCGCATCAACTCTTCACTTTCCCACATCGCATCTTTGGTTCCATGGTGTTCCCAAATCACCCCCTGTTTCAATTGATCTTGAACCAACTTGGGACCCGTGATGCTCTTCTCACCCACTCATCCCAACAAGCGGTGTTCCGCAAACCCTGCCATACCATGCCCCAAACGGTGCCATTCTAAAACTCTGTGATAGCTATTGTTATAGGCAAACTCAACCAAGGGCAATTATTCTTTCCAACTTCCCCTAAAATCCAATGCACATGGTCGACATATCTTCCAAAGTCCGAATCGTCCTCTCGGACTAGCCATTCGTCTGCGACTAATAGGCCGTGCTAAAGCTGTAACCTTGTTCCTAATGCCGTATGAAGACTTTTCCAATAAGCGGCAGTAAACTTAGGACCACGGTGCGAAGTGATCGTCACTAGTACTCCATGAAGATGAACTATCGTTGCACGCACCATCTTGCGTACCTTCCTAACGCGAAGTCCTTTCGCATTGCCGGAAAACGTGCGATCTTATTAGCCGGATCTACTATAACCCAAATTGAATCATGGCCCCTTTGGCTTCTTGGTAGTTTC